GTACAGTCAAAGAGACAGATTCGATCAAGAGCTATTAGCGAGAAATGTGGCAGAAATGATCTGTGATGGACAGGCGCAATAATCAAGAATGTGAAGTACAAGTTCTTTCAAATTTCAAAAAGTTGCTCCTTAACGGCTTGACATGTGCACCTCATACGCCTCAACTTCTAAAAAGGGGTCAATTGTTGGAATAAATATTTAAGTAATTAATTCTACATTATGAGAATTAATTATGGAATTAATGTTGGGTTAAAACTATTTATCAATAAACTGGTGTGCTTAACTCTGGTCGGGGAAAGTCGTCAAACCGTTTGGCGACTTATAAGTCGCCAAACCGGATGGCGACTTATAAGTCGCCAAACCATTTGGCGTCTTTCCCCTTCCCAAATAGCGCCGGTCTGGGCCCAACCGGGGCCGGTCGGGGTTGCCCTGGTGGCGAAAAATTGTATTTTTCAGTCCAATTCATCGTTTGATGACTTACAGAACACATACAAAATACAATTTGGTAAAAATGATACAAAGCGACACACCTGCTTAGAAACACAATACAAAAACAGCATATAGACATCCGATATGCATAACCAAACACATCAACACATCATAAACAAATGAAAAAATATTAATAACACAATATCCATTTGTTTGCAGGTGAAAATACGTTAAAAAGTAAAGTGTTTCTACAAAATTTGGGGTACATTATTTCGTCAAGGGATAAATCTATATAAATTTTATTTTATGAATGAGTAGACCAAAAAATTGAAACTTTGTTTGAAAACAATTTTGCCCACTCAGTAATAGAAAATAAGTAGAAAAGTTAGGAGTCCTAATTGAAATTGGTTGAATCCTCTGATTTTTCTGAAATTTATGAAATGTTTAGACCCAATTGGTGGATTTTGCTGAATTACGTAGAAATATTTAAAATTTATTTTAATATTAGAATAAAGAAAGAATTATATGAAAAATAATTAAATTGATCCTTTATAGTAACTTTTGTCAATCCAATTAGAAAGTAACTTCAATCTTAATTATTTTGATTATTACACATTATTTGTTAACAAGGTTTATAATTAGAAAAACTGATCACCCATTAAACTCGTGAATTATTTGCTAAGCCCATGTAACTTGGGTGTTTTATTTGTCGGTCTTATCAATCGTTTCTGCAAAAGACTGAAAGATCGTTTGGTAACACTGTTTTCAGCTAATCAGACAACTTTTTCATCACACACGTAACTTTTACTTTCATGCGCTGAATTGTGTCATAATAAGAAAAAGTAAGGTTGAAGTTACGTTTTTAGTTGTATTGGCTGAAGTTACTATACATGATCATTTTAGCTATTTTTACATTTAATTTTTCCTTTATTTTATTAATAAAATATATTTCAAAATAATTTTTTTTAAATCATCAAAATCAGCCAATGCAGCGACTTCAGTCGAATCAATAGAATCAGCCGAATCAGCCAATTTTACCAAACGGGTTCTGAATTTTAGGTAGAGATGAAATCTCTTTTATTTGGGTCCAATTGTAGCTAAATCTAAAAAATAATCTTAAAGTTTTGGATTATTAAAATTAGAGACCGAATAAAAACAAAAAAAAATAGAGACCGAATATATACGGCTCGAGTGAGGTTTTTGAAATGCTAGGTTTGAACTGGGTTTGTGTATGATATATCAATTAAGGTCCAAATGAGTAAGCGTCATATTATGACATACTCCGTATATTCTTGTACTAAATTAACTACTCTTAAATACAAATCACATATAATAACTAGCACAAATAATAAGTCGTCAAACGATGAATTGCGATAATCGGGATCAATTTAGGCTGAAAAACGCAATTTTTCGCCACCGGGGCGCCCCGAATGGAACCGGTTGGGCCCAGACCGATGCTATTTGGGAAGGGAAAAGTTGTCAAACCGTTTGGCGACTTATAAGTCGTCATCCGGTTTGGCGACTTATAAGTCGCCAAACGGTTTGGCGACTTTCCCTGACTAAAGTTAAGCCCAGCAGTATATTGGTAAATAGTTTTAACCCAACATTAATTCCGTAATTATTTAATTAATTAGCATTAATCCGGAAAAAAAAACTCCTACAGTTAGGGAGTTCAATCATGTAGTAAGTCCATTTGTAGGTGATTATACCTTTATAGCCAAGTCCATGTCAGAAGAGGGAGATAAGGTAGAATAGTTGAGTTGTCTCTTAGGTTTTAGGAGGTTTGAATGAGTCCGTCGGAACAGACGGCCTCATTCAAATGAGTTGTCCTGCGATTGCTGAATTTAAAGGAGTTTCCAGATTGGGACCGGTTGCTAAATAACACAACTTGAGCCATGTTATTATAAATAGAAGCAAGCCCCATTGTAAAAAGCAGAAATTTTAGGGAGCACGCAAGTCCACGTGGAAGATGACAGAAGTTAATACGGAGTACTCCGTACCACTCGCTAACTGAATTCTTTCAAACCCCAATTAATTTAGCCTCAGTTCATATGGGAAATGAAAATCTAAAAGGACCCATTACCTCCACCTCTGAAGCAAGTATTTTAGTTGTAGGTTTAAATAATAAGAAGATGAATACAAATAACAATAATAATAACAATAATAATACAAATAACATTAATAATAATAATAATAATAATAACAATACAAATAACAATTGATGGCGGAAAAAGAAACAATGTACACCTAAGCCCACTTACGGTGACAGCTCCTCGTTACAAACGATAGCGGAGAAAAAACCCTATCAACGGAAACCCAACCTTGAGAGAGAAGCTCTCATTTTTAGAGAGAATTAATTCTCAAAAACTTATTTGTTAACTAAAGTTAAATTAAATTTAAAAAATTCAAAATAAAATTATAAAATTCAGAATATTTTAAATCTTTGATTGACAATTTTCAATCATTCGAACCTTATATCTACTAACGTCATATTGTATAGTATGATTGTTGTAAGAAATATTTGTAACATTTGAAAGTAATCATGTTAATAGTTGATTTCAGGAATAAAATTTTAGAAAAGTCTAGGGTGCCTTCATTAATGTTCCAAAAGGTTGAATCCACAACCCCAAGGGCCCCCCACATCCCGAACTGACATGATTTTTTTGGAGGATGTAAGTCACGGTAACTCAGTCGGTCCAATGATGATAGACCTTATACTCATACGCACCAGAGGTCCAGTCTAGCACGCAGGAGTTGTACCCTCCACACGGTCACTGCGGATTTCGAACTTTGTTCAATGTTCCAAATTTCCCAACACTGAACCAACTGACCTACCCGTGCGGATAGGGGTGCCTTCATTAAATTACTATGTACCGGTATACAATTTTGTAAGCCAATCAAATTGAAGTATAATGCCACGTCATATCCTTGTCATATTTGTATAGGAGTTTTATTTTTGCATTTTAGTCTCTAAACACAGAATTAATCTGCGGAGATGGAGCAATAGGAAACGAAGTCTATGTGCGGAGGGACCGTGTGCTCAATAAAGAGTCACATGCTCGTTAATTTTTTTGTTGTAAAACAGAAATTTTAGGGAGCCCGTTACGTGCTCACTAGCGAGCACACAAGTCCACATGGAAGATGACAGAAGTTAATACGGAGTACTCCTTACCACTCGACAGACGCTGAGGACTCTGCCGATGAATCGTCAAGTCTGGCCCCCAATAAGACTGACGATGAGGCATCCGATAGCGTGGCCACCCAAAGTGAGGTTGAGGATGCTACTGATGATGATGATGATGATGATGATGATGATGACAGTGATGGAGTGGAGGCAACTTATGCCCTGATCAGAAAAGGAAAAATGATCGCCTCACCTCTCCGAAAGATCACGGCCGAAGATGCACAACCGATCATAGCCGCTCGCTTTAATACCTTCACCATCAAGGACATTCGAGAGTCCAAAAGCGTGCATGCTAAGATCAACAGCTCTAAGCCTTGTTATGTTGAAGCTGCGCACGAAATTAAAAATTATGAAGATGTCGTCATCGTCATCAGGGAGAAACGTGCCAAAATCTGAAACGATGCCCCTCCATCATCCACACCAGTGAAAAAGCGGCTGGTTACCAGAGGCCTGATTGACGAAGCTGGCATGGTAATTTTTGCAGAATGCGAACCCTTCATCAGCATAAGCCGAGCTGAATCCTTAAGCACAGGAGCCGACCTTATCGGTTCCTGAGTAGAAGTCGCAGCATCAGGCTCAACTGCGCATGTACCGCCCTCTCCTGATCACTCGTTAGCCTCCCAACAGGCTAACGTTTCGAAATCACGGGACCAATCCCCCTCACCAATTCCTTTTGAATCTGTTGAGAGAACTATTGGCCACCAGCCAGTCCAGCCCGAGGCCACAACCCCTCTTTCCCACACATCGAGTCTAGATGTCACGCTCCCCCAATTTTTCTAGGACACCTACACTCTTCCTCTGCAAAATATTGAATTTGCTCACGATTACTATTAAAATATTCATAGTTCTTGATGTTTATCTAGTTCTTGTGTGTGATCCCAATCATTATACATATTATTTTAATTATTTCTAACTCACGTAAAATTTTTAAACAGAAATCTCACTAATGTTCCTCATATTTTCCTAAATATGCACAAAGGCCATTTCATACGGAGTACTTGATAGCCGACCACATCCAAAAATTTGCAAGATAAATTTTGTCTAAGTAATTATGTAATCCGTCCCGTTAGAACTTAGAATGATACTTACCAAAGACAAATTTAAATCTTCATTGTCCAAATGAGATTTGTCATTTCTATTAACGAAATAAATTTATAATTCATATTTTCCTGAATGTATGACCACATCACTTTAAAAAACATCTTGCTTTCTCTTTGGGGTTGTTTTTAGATAAAATCATATTTTCTTATTTGGTAAACAATTTTCTATCGAATTACTCTACCACTCTTAGTTCTTACGATGACTTTACAATGTCTAGCACTCTAGCAATGTGAAAAATGTTAAAACAGTGCTAATGTAAAATATGACCCCGATAAAAAGGGTATTTCATGAAGTCAAAAAAAAAACTTAAAGTGTAACCTCTTCAAGCTAGAAATTTTATTAAAAGTAAGCTAAATTTACCATACTTTATGTGTTTCTTTTACATGATCCGCATAGTTGTGTTTGACAGCCTTTAGTTGGTTACAAATTGAATGCAAGTTATGACTTATGATCCACATTTTTCTTTTTACAAATAAATCACCCACCAATCCTTTCCTTGTCTTTAAGCGATACTACACAAGCGCAGCACAACATATTCATCAATCATCGCCTCTCTTTAGCTGTGTCGTCATAGTGTGAGGATGTTTTTGCTTGACCAGCTTTCAGTCTCAAATCAGTTCAGACCAAACCAGTTCACATCAGATCAGTTCAGGCCAAACCAAACTTTCGTAGTTATAAAAGACATTTACCAGACCAGGCCAGATTTAAACAGTCTTAATAAGCAAATTTCAATCTAAGTAAAAACATTCTGAGTCTCTGACTACCAAACTCCGACATAAAATAAGAATTACGCAGTCTCTTCCATTTAATTAAACACTTGACCTCTCTCTATAGCCTAGAGGCATTCCTCCCAACAGCTAGCACTATTTGTTTATAACAAAGGGAGGATGATGGCATCAAATCGTAACATGTAAATGACATGTTTCATTGTAAATAAGTTGCCATCAATGGCCTGACAAAAAAAAAACAGAGTTACATAACAAATGTGTTTTTTACAAAAAAAAAAAATAGTACATTTACACATATTGTAGCCTAGAGGCATTCCTCCCAACAGCTAGCACTATTTGTTTATAACAAAGGGAGGATGATGGCATCAAATTGTAACATGTAAATGACATGTTTCATTGTAAATAAGTTGCCATCAATGGCCTGACAAAAAAACAGAGTTACATAACAAATGTGTTTTTTACAAAAAAATTTAGTACATTTACACATATTGTAGGAGTAGCTAGCACTCCTAGCAGACACATGATGCTGGTTGCTTTATTTTGAAGTCTTGAGAAATATAATTATATAAAGGTTGTTGATTCAAAACTCATTATTCAGCCTTTAATTCAGTACTGACATTATAAAAACACCTGAGAATAAGACGTCATACATTAACCTCATATGAAGAGCCCTCATTTGAATCAACTTCACACATTCATGCCCAGGCAAAAAGAGAACTGTCATTTCGCAACAGGATCCTTACAAGCAGCAGTGTTGGTCTGTTTACATAAATAAGCTTCATAGAGTTCCACAACAAGCCTAGGATCCTTTTCCACCAAATCACCATATTCTTCGCGCTTCCTCAGCTTGTCCATATTGTCCATAATCAATGCCACCGCTGCTTCAACCAAATTATTTGCATTGTGTTGGTGAGCAAAAGCATAGTTTAGAAGTGAGTTCTCCCAATTTAGCTTTGATATGAGAAACTTCTCACAGTAGGCCTTCAGATGTTTGATTTCATACTTCTCAGCTAACACCAAAAGGTCGCAAGCCATGCACTCGTCTAGGCAGGTTTCAGCTGTGTACAGGTAATTGACGAAGGCACGAAGAACATCGTATGACACGTCACTGATTTTAATCGTGCCACTGAGGCTTTCTTCCATTTCATTCTCAAGCATCGCTCTGAACACTCGGGACCGACTCGCCTGTTATTTCACTCAACAATATTATCTCATACCCTTAAAATGGAACATTTCTAGTGTAATATGGTCCTGACATTATTTGGAACATCTGATAGTGAATCAGTGTTGTGTCCCTATGATGCAAGAACAATATATCTACAATAGGATAGTTAATGATTTAAGAAGACAGACCTCGGGGAAATTTCAAACATATTCAAATATACATTGGAGGATATATCTAAACAACCATATGAATGAAATGAAAATGCAAGTACTATTCTCAAACATTTCGTACCTTCTTAATTATTACTCTGTATTTACTTAAATTTGATTCTGGTTCCTATTTACTACCAAACAAATCAAACAAGTGGACCACACTTATAGAAACTCATTCTCATACTAAATATGTACTAGTATTTGAGTACGGTACATCATTTTCGCCAAGTTTACACAAAATGATGTTAACATCACAACTATGATTACACAAGCCCTTAAACATTTTTATCATCAAAAAATTACAACTCTCTTGATAATCCATTGTATCCACTATTCCACTTTTACATTGATTGGAAAAGAGTGACCGACTTATATTTGATATTTCAATTCAATTTTTATCACAGCACTGATCACTCTAAGCTTAAATTGGAGAAATAGCATCGCACACAGATTATTGCTGGCCTGGGACCGTTATTTTGGTCCAAATCCCCATTTTTACATCCCCGTTTTTATACACAGAGTAGGCTAAGTGCTTGTCTTGAAGAAAGCTAAGAAAGAGAAATACAACAAAAACAACATCCAAGCCTAAATTCCAAAAGAGTTTGGGGTCTGCTAAATCAGATCAATCCAATATGTGTGTACTCTTCATCCACTTTTCTCTCTCCAAGGTCATACTCTCATCTAGTCATCTAACCCAAGAAGTAACATATAATTCAAATCTCATCATCATCATTACCCCAGTGCCACAAAGGCTCCCACCTTCGATGGGGGTAAGGGAGGGTCGGATGTACGCAGTCTTACCCTTGTACTAAAGCACAAAGAGATTGTTACAGGATGACCATAGTGAAAATCTCGTCGCAAATTGCATAAATTGACTGTTGCTTCATAATAAAGAAGCGCAAACAGTTTAGTGAACCATTTTGTTTTATTCCATCATATTCCTAAGCCAAAGATAGTGAGTCTTTGGCTCCATTGCAAATGATGGAAAGATATAATACAAACCTAAGAAAGAAAAATAAATTAAAAAAAGAAGTGTGTGTCAGCTTGAGCCTTGAAGTCTTGAAGGCATTACACAAGAAATACAAGTATGAAATGACCAACCTGGCAACAGATAATATCATCTTGTATAAGTCCTGATTACACAAAAGCTAAACGAACATTCAAACTGATGAAGGCACTGCAGAAGTTGATCTATTTCAGAACTATTGATAATTTGATATCTAGTCAACTCATGCGAGTGTGCAACATGCCATTAATTTGAGATTCTGCTTGGTCAGTCAAATTTAGCTAAAGCAACGACTCAATACATGGGATTAAAAGTTCATCAGTCATTCACATCCCTCAGATCTACTGGATGTTCGCTTCAGCATTATCAAATCTTTAAAATCTACTTCATGTTAAGAGGATCAGGAATCTATATACTAAATTTTACTCTAGAGCACGCGAATGCACAAATCCACTGGTTATAGAACAATTTGATTCCTTATATGCGAGCACAAATAAGAGTGAGTCAGTGTGCGAAATGATGGAGAAAGGTACACTTACAAGAACAGCACGATGGGCCGGAACAGGAACTGGCTGTGTGGCGTTCTTTTCACTCCCGACATTAGAGGCCACTAAAACAACGTCGGTAAAGCAGGGAGTCGAAGATGGAGACGGGCCTCGCTGAGGAGATGAGAGATTAATGTAATGGAGGGGATCTACTGGAGACCAGAACCGAAGAAAGTTGACTTTAGCCTTGAGTTCCTCGATCTCGCGCTTGAGCTCCTCCTCCGTCTCGCTGGCCTCCTCGTAGCACTCCCGGCAGGTGCCAGCTTCTCGTGCGCAGTAATCTTCCTTGCATGATACGCACTTCATCGTTGTCGACTCTCCAGTTCCTTCTTCTTCTTCCTCACTATCGTCGTCTCCATCGCGGTAGTCCATTGAGGTGGGAGATGGCCGCAGGTACCTTCTCAGTTAGTCAGTTTCATTTTCGCAAGGAAGGTTTAGGGTTGGAATATGGTTTGACTTTTTCTTTTTTTTGAAAGGTGGTTGACTTTTTCAATTACTTCTCAAAATGGAGGCTTTTTTCCATTAATATTACAGAATACAGATTACTAAATTAAATTTAAAGAAAAATATCATTTATTTAAAAAAAATAAAAAGTGGTGTATTTAGTGACTGACTTGAAGTGACTCATCAGTGACTTTCATTTACTCGTATATAAAGTTACTAATCATATTTTTATTCAAAAAACATAACTAGTCATATTTTTGCTCAAAAGAATTACTTCTTCCGTCCCTTAAAATTTTGTCAAGTTTGACCGTCATGAGGATTAATAAAGTAAAATCTATGTGGTTGAAGTTTGTGTAGATGAGAGAGATTTAACTAGAATCACAAATTTTTTTACTTAAAAAGGAAAGTTTTTTACTTAAAAAGGAAAGTTGACAAATTTTTAAGAGACATGTTTGGATGGAGTGTTGGAAATGTTAGTAATAAAAGTGTTAAGAGTGTTGGTTAGTCCTTTCATAACTAGTAATCATTACTAACATAACCAGTAATAAATTTCGGTGTTTATGTGTTTCAAAATCAAGAGTTTTGAAAAAGATTTAAAAAAATAAGGATTTTAGTTTTCAAACGATAATTAAAAGCAACCAAAAGTTTGGAATTATCTAAACAATAATGAATACATGTTACAATAGTGAGATTGTGATTAAGAAAACCGTATAAAAATTGCATTTTAATCGTAACTAATCGTTTAAAATCGCAATATTCATGCGATTTAACGATTTTAATTTTAAGCTCAGCCCGAACAAATCAGGCAAGGTGAAGGCCCAAATCATGTTTGTCGAAGCCGCAGTTTCCTTTGTATATCCGCTGGACTGCTTGATTTGGAGAAGATCACTATTTATATGCGTTTTGGGAGTAGCAAAACCCTCCTACTTCCGGTGTGGGATAGTAAAAAAAATGAGAACGAACAAATTCACCGGCCTTTGGTTGTATTTGGGGATTCGAACGTACACCTAACCCTCCTACCACATCTATTATACAAATTCACCAGCAATAGAAGTTGCAAATTATTGCATTCTAAACTAATACTCCGTATATTATATTTTGATTTGTTACAACAAAACTTAGACTTTACTTTTTGCTAACTAATTACTTATTACTAGTATGAGTTTTTACTAACACAAACTTGCATACTAAAACTTGTTTAAGTTTTTTAAAAAAATATTACTAAAATAAAACTTATTTACATAAGTATGACGAAGAATCGCTACAATTTAGTGTCATAGTAACTTAAGTTTAAAATTTGAATATAACTTACTGATATTTCATTACTACTCAAGTCACTAGTCACATTTTTATAAAGAATCTTTATTTTACTCATGAATATATGTAATTATTTCAACTTAGTATTCGACTTAATAATGTTTTTTATCATCAAAACATGTCTCTATTCATATCAAAAGATTCAGGGTCATTACATCAAGCAAAGGAAAAATAAAACAGACACCAACTGAAACCCCAACAACTACGATTGTAACCCTGTGGTGAGACTCTGTGATGGTCACCCCTGAGAGAGCAACACGAAACGCTGACCATGTAGTGGGCTTGACACAGTCAAAACTATTCTCATAGATCCAACCATACTCAATGACATAAAGAGAGGCAAAAACTCAAACAAATTGTCAAACCCAACAACAAAAATGGACGCAAGAAAACAAATAACAAACAGATAAAAACTACAAGAAAAACGTTCACGAACTCTAGCACCTCGTACATCCAATGGTGGTGGTTCAGGAGGAGGTCGTATCACTGGTACCATGCTAATTGATCCTCCATGACCTTTGGGTGCCAAAGACCATGCATCAGTCCTCCATCCCTGCATAAACAAACTCATCCCTGCTCCGTGTGCCCTGAGTAAACAAATAGGCGGCGCTGATCTTCTCCAACAAGGACAGCAACGCCGCATCCTCAAACCTTGACCACAGCGCCGATCTCCTCGAGCCATGACAGCAAATCTGCCCTCCTCCGCCGACCTCCGCCCTCCGCGTCTGACCTGGGCTCCAGTCGAGCACCAGCGACCGAGGGATAACAAAGCCGATCTTCGACAAAGTCGAAATCGGAAGAAAGCTCCAGCGGTCAACATTTCGACTTAATAATGTTAAATTATGGGGTTTTCTTTTATCTAATATTTTTATTTTTATTTTTTTTTATAAAATCTTACAATTTACAATTCGATTTAATGATTCGATTTTTAGATCTCTCTGTTGATTCGATTCAAAAATACGATTTTAACAACCTTGAGTAGTACTACTAATGCCTTGAAATTAATTTCAAGTATTACAATCACCCCCATTTAAGAACACAACACCCTCGTTACACCCATAATCCAGTCTCGATCGAACCCCAAAATCCTCCCTTGTTGTGTAGCCGCCTGATATCCAACGGATCAGTACACTGTCTCAGGGTTGCTCTAATACCACTTGTAACACCCCCACCCCGTAGGGCCCAAGGCAATTACTCCTACATACTCTCCAGGCCTCTAGTACTAGACTCACAACCCAGCACAAGTGTTTACCACGCACTTTGTCCTCACTCATGTGCCCCTTGAGAACCTTCTCAATGGTCACTCATCCCAATACTCATGTAGAAGCACGCTTAACTTGGAGTTCTTAGCCAATGAGCCCCCTTAAAAGGAGATACACCTTGTTTGTATGAGTGGTACTAGTAATCCCTTTAAATTAATCTGAAGTATTAAATGAAGCCCTCCACGCTTTTCAGTAGCATTTTCGGTTTTCCCGGGCCGTCGTCCTCATCGAAGTCGTAAAACTCCTCGACCTCAGACTCTAATGCAATAATTGGAGATCCGGAAATATTTTGCGAGACAGAGGACTACATGCTCAAACACAAGATCGTTGGCCAGCTATGGATCTAAATGTGTTTCTTCCTAAACATCACATCTAACAACCTAGAAGCAAAGTATAAAAAATCGTGAAGAACCAACGAAAAACTGACTTTGAAGATTTGAAGGAACGAATAACGCTTTATCTCTCTAAAAAGCAGCAATACTTCATTATCTCTCAAAACAAAGTGAGAAACAACGCCTCGAAGGAAGAGTATTTATAGGATACCCCCCCCCCAACGAATACTATATGTGTCGTGCCCCCAATGGCCACTCCAACAACCACCAAGACTCCAACCACTCAGCGGACGCCGTCTGTCTCTTTCCCACACCAAATCACGCAACGGTTTGTGAAACGGTGCCATTGCAACCGAGCACAGAACTCACATCGGTCAGGAGATTTTTCACATAAGAACGAGCATGCCTTTCATATCAGCATAAAACATCCAATGACTACGTCGTTCTCTCGGACAACGTGCGAGAATGCTACGCATTTCACGTTACAACCTCAGCGCGGACAAACAAAATTTACTTCGGCCTCGTAAAAGGGGGGTGATCCTGGAAAAGGGGCGCCTCGAACGGAGCCTACTGGTGATAACCTTTGGCCATCAATCTTCGTCCAAAGATTCTCTCACAGGGTGGCCTTGGTCAGGGTTCGCCAGAAAGGTTGGATCACTGGTCCATTTGAGGTGCCATATCGGTTTCAAACACACTTCCTACTCCTGAACCCGATTCCACTCTCGGCTTGTAGGAGTGGAGGATAGGGGGCTCTGCCTCATCCAATAACCAACAGGTTCGAAAAATTATTCACAAGAAACCTTGGCTACAAACAGACACGCCTTGGCCAACACACAAAAATGTTCTGAAACACATCCGAACAATTGAAAAATCGTTAAGGAACAAGAAACAACAACACGTCGGCCAAGTCCTAATGCCCCCTCATCCAAGTTCTAACGTAGCCATAAAAAGCACAATACAAAAATACTCTACTCCCTCTCACCTTGACACCTTTCGACTCAGAGAGCGATGGACTCGTGATAGAGTACATGGGTTTGGGACCCAAGACCCACATAGTCATGAAGATAAAACCACAAGATTGAAGCACCCCTCAATTGGCCCCCATCGGCCAGGCCAGGCCAGGCCCATCTGTACAAGAAAAAGGTACCAGAAATAGAACTTCGGATATGCATCCAAATTCAATCGTCCTCGCTCCCTTGGCCAAGCTCCCTCGGCCAAGACCGTCCTGGCCAGGGCCCTTGGCAAATAGTTTTTCGCTTTATACTTAGCATAGCAACTTCATGTGATCAACCCATTAGCGACCCATTATTGTAATCGGGCTTCCCAGTCTCAAGATCTGGAAGCCCAACCCACATTTACTCGATAAATAATTGCAAACAACTTTCTCTAGCTCTCACTCTCTCTAGAACTATACTCTATCACATTTGTTACTATCATGAACTAAATGCACGCAAAAAAAATGTTTAATTAAAAATAATTAATGAGACCAATAATTACCAAAGTGAGCATATTCTGGTCCATACCGCACCCTGATCGGTATGGTCCAAGCTTTTTGAAATTTCAAATTTTGGTCTGATCTGATCCAAACTCTGAAAAAATTTAAGCCCAAAACTCTGAAAAATAATTAATATTATTTTTTTCTCCAATATATTTCGTAACAAAAATGTACTCTCATGTAACAAATATTAAGAATTAATTCGTATTTAGTTTTATTTAAATATTAGAAAGATGTATGTTTTAAAAAAATAGCCATCGAAGATAGTCCTTTTTATAAAAAAAAAGGTTATTTTTAATAAAAAGAGAAAATTACCCACATAGGACTAAAATATATCAGTTATGCATAAATAGGAGTGCTCTTTAATGTCAACTTCAGTAGGACTAAATACCTGTGTTAGAATATTATTTATTGTGTTCAATTTATTTGTAATCTATTTAATGAGTCTTTGTATTTAATCAGATTAGCTGGGAGAGAATTAGGTCTGATTTAGATGCTCTACATAGCCCACACGCATGGCCCACTATGTTTCCTAATTGTATTAGGCAGTTCGAATATCTCTCATATAAATATCGGTTGAGATGGCCGAAAACTGCTAAGTCTATATACAATCTATTCCGCATATTATTC